AAAAAAAAAAAAAAAAAAAAAAAAGTTAGGGTACTTTTTCCGTTGGCCCACACGTCGCAGAGTGGCAAAAATGGAAAATGAACCAAATAGGCGCGGCAACTATTTCAGGGCCGGAAATTTTTTCTTTATTTTTTTTTAATATTTTTCTTGGAAAGATCACGACCTAATCTACGGGTTCCCGAAAGTTCAGATTTTTCTGATGAGTAGTTTAAGCACGAAAAATCGCCAAAGTTAGGGCACTTTTTAGTTGCGGGACTGGACCTGGCGGTAACCAACGGCCGCCGCCCTTCTGAAAAACCTCGCCCTAACTCATCAGAGGCAGGTTTTTGGGTGGCGGGGACAAGTGGCTTAATAAGTAAGGGGGAAAGGCCCACGGTATCCACGGGAGCTGAAGCTGGCTAAGGGCATCACCACACAATTCTTTTTTTTTTTTTTTTTTTGACAAAATGCTCCAATCTCATTGTGGGGAGCCGCACATGCTGTCAACCTGTACATTTTCATCGCCCCACCACTCTCCAAATGTGAAAACGACAAAAGTGTGGCGGGTGCAGCGGGAAGTTGATTGTTCATGTTGCACATTTCTCAAGCGGTGTGGCGATGCCCTAATGGGCCCACAAAGCCTCTCTCTCTCTCTCTCTCTCTCTCTCTCTCTCTCTCTCTGTGTGTGTGTGTGTGTGTCTCTCTCTGTCTCTCTCTCTCTCTCTCTCTCTCTCTCTCTCTCTCTCTAGCGGTCCGGCCGACTCCTTCCCCTTCCCTTTTGCCTTTTCCCCGTGATCCACACCGAGCCTCTACCTTTTCCATCTCCTCCACCTTGCCCGACCCCATGTGCTACACACCCTCCTCCCTGATATTGTCTCCCCCTGTTTCCATTCCTCAGTGAGAGTGAGAGGCCCGTCACCCAGACCCTGTCTCCAACCTTCCCCACCTGGTCCTTTCTGTTGCTCTCCACTTGGATCTGGCCTTGCACCCGAGAGAGCTACAACCCAACGATGCGACTGCTTCTCCAGGCTCCGAATCCCGTCTTGGACTATTCCCGTTCCTCACCAGGTGCCGAAGTGGGTGGTGACAAAGATGGGCCTTCTCTGAAATTAAGAAAAGGGAAAAAACAACTCTTGGCTGAAGGATCATTTCAAATTCATTACCACGTCCAATGAATGACAACACCCACACCCACACACTCAATTCCTATGCGCTACGTGTCTGCGACCATCGTGAGAGAGAGAGAAGATGGCCGCTTGACCCAGTCTTCTCACCGGAACCCCATTCCTCCCTGGTCCCAATCCACCCTGCCGACCACCTCCTCACGACCATTCCATGCTCCCAGTTCCCGTTCGCCCAAACCCTGTTCAGCTCCCTAGCGATGACCCTTCACGACCCCATGTCTGTCCTGCCCTGCACAACCCTGCTCCGGGCCCAGAACCTACACTGCAAGTATGCTTTAATGTTTTCAAATAAAAAACTGGTCAAGATGTCAAAGATCTAAAAAAAAAAAAAAAAAAAAAAAAAAAGATGCCAGAGATCTGTACAAACTTCAACAACCACAAATTGCACTAATCCTACATTAAAAGAAAAAGAAAAAGAAAAAGAAAAAGAACCGAAAAGACATGCTAATTCGAACCACAACCAGACTGAAGGACCCATAATAGGAGGAGCATCCCTTGGGAGGGAAGTTATGGGAAAAAGAAAGGAAATCGAAAGGATGGAAAACCAAAGCTGTACAGGGAAAAATGCTACTGCTGGCAACGTGAAGTCCGTGTTTTCCTCCGCATCTGAAAAGAAGAAACCAAACTGATTATGTGGCAGTAGAGTGCGCTAAAAAGAAGTTTAAAGAACACATACATTTGACCATTGACACCCCATGACCAAGTAACTTCCTGCTGATGGACTGTAACACGTACGGTCGACAATTTGTAACCCATGACATTACACAGGCAATGGAATTGATGCTGTGTGACCACCATGTTCAACCATAAACACTGGAACCAATGATTTTGTGATCTGATCGTTGAGCCGTGGACTCACCTTAAGGATGTTGGTCCAGTTGCCTTCACCACACTTTTCCACCGCTGCAAGAAGCGCTTCATCCTCCTCTGTTGTCCACAGTTTCCGCTTCCTTCTTTCTGGGGGGCCCATTGCTGTCACCTTCTTGTCTGAGCCTGCAGGTTGGCCTGCACACCCAATGGACCCTTCGTGTGGTCTCTTTGTGCCTCCCGATATCTTCGCATCTGCAGACGAAACTGCTGGGTCCACACCTGTGCTTGTTGATCCAGCAGAACATCCCACACCAGCAGGTTTTGCAAAGTTCGCAGAAGCTGACACACCTGCACCTGCAGGTGGCTTGCCTGTTGCGCCATTCTCAACCCTGCCAGCTGGCATGGCATCCTGGCCTCCATGTCTTCCTGCAGCTGTCTGACCGACACAGCTGAAAAATGGTTAACAATTTTCCATGATTGACTACCAACATATCTCAGACTCCAGTAGTTGCAAGGGTAACAGACGAACAATGGAGATGGACAAGAAGGTGCAAACAAACGTAAGTGCTTCAAACATGGGGCGGCAGCTAGGAAAAGACGCAACAAAGACAAGTTCCGGGTAGGTAAACAAAAATGACAAATTAGGAATGTGGGTAGGCCAAAGTATTTCTTGAGTTCCAGTCAGCCAAGGAGAGAAATCAAAAAGGTACTGGCCAAATATAGCCTGGAAAGGAGTCCAGGTCCGAGTACTGTAGATAGGTAACACCCTGCACGACTTTCCTGCCAGAATGAGCAGGAACAGGTAAGGCCTAGAGGCCAGGTAGGCTGGAATTCACCGGAGGACTGAACCAGCCGCCAAAGTATGCGAAGAGGTGCCGTGAGTCCCTCCTCATCTTTTCCTCTATTGGCGGCAGAGAGGCTGCTGGACCGGGAGCTTGCCTGAAGCAGTGCCAAGCAGCAACTAAGAGGAGAAGGGAAGAAGAAGGTTCAGCAGGAAAGTAAAGGCAGACACATTCCTTGGCTATGGTGGCCCTGCATCTACATCATCTTAGTTAGCATTGCGCCTGGAAGGTCTCAAAAGGGGGTTGAAGTTGACCTCAACCGTGACTGTGAGCATGGTTGTAGTGGAGAGGGAAAGGACATGAGATGGAAAGGACCTGAAAGGACATCCCGGCAGTAATGATATTCATTTGACATTTGATTCGGGCTTCTTCATTCATTGTTATTGTTTACTATTAAAGACAAGTGGACCCGCTGCAGCTACGCTGCGGCCAAACAGGCGGGTGGAGGAGGGGAAGGAGAGGGAGGAGAATGTTGTAGAATGTTGGTGTTGCAGATGTGGACGTTGAATACAAAGACAGGAGCAGCAACGCATGTGAAGGGACGGCCGGAAAGCAGGTCATGAAGCGGGAAAACACACGGGTCTCCGTTCAGCCATTGAAATTATTGCTAAGTTTTGTTTCTGTTTCTTGCTCTCTCTCTCTTTCTCTCAGTTTGTCATCCCGATGATGATGGTTCCACTTTGGTTGTTGATGTCGAAGTGTCACGTGTCTGTCTTCCTCTCTGTGTCTCTCTGTAAGTGTATATTTCTAATAGATGACCCGTTGTGGCTTCGCCCGCAAAAACAAAAAAAGAGAAAAGCACAAAAGAAAGAAAACACACAAGGAACTGCCCTATCATATGCCACTTCTTTCACAATAAGAAAAAGAAGAGCCTGAGAGCAGACGAAAACCCGCATGCAAGAAAATAGCAGGGAATACCACCGAACATTCTTTTTTCTTTACCTTTTGTTTGGGGAGCCGTTACCTTTGCAGCATCGTTTTTGTTTTGTGCTGTGCAAGTACTCTGGACTTTTCTGAGAAAATCCAGTCCGTTGTCCTGTTGATGTTTTTGGTAAAGATTCAGAATCGGACTTTGTTTGCTATGTTCTCTGGATATGTTTGTGATCAAGCGATCTTGCATGTATGCCCCGTGCTTACTTGTTGATTTTTGACAGTGTGTGTGCAAGTGCATGCGCGTGTGGGTGAGTCTCAGTTTGGTGGGCTCCGCTGATGTCAGTGATGATTGGCCCCCGAGAGAGAGAGAGAGAGAGAGAGAGAGAGAGAGAGAGAGAGAGAGAGAGAGAGAGAGAGAGA